AGGGAGCTGGGATCAATTTAAATGTTAGGATCAAAGGAAATACACACAAAAGATCACTTCCCCTGCTTTTGTTTTATTACTCTTGATAATAATAATAATAATAATAATAATAATATATATTGCTTTTTGGAGCTTGACATCCCATAGTCATTATATGCTCTCATAAAAGATTAGACCAGCATTTTTCGCCTAACATCATTTTTGTGTGTGTTCCAGGGAAGTATGAGTAAATTATGAGAGAATTTTAATCCCTTTATAGAAGGAAGAAAGAAGTCTGTTCAATGTGTGTAACTGGCATTCCCTACTTTATGGGGACCAAATGTCCCCATAGTCATTTTAAGTTTGACCTTGTGGGGACCATTTTTTAGGTCCCCATGAGGAAAACAGCTTATAAATCATACAGAATGAAGTTTCTTTTTTTTCTGTTTTCTGTGAGGGGTTGGTTTAGTGTGTGTGTGTGTGTGATTCTGTGAGGGTCATGTGACGTCATTGGTAGCAGGTCAGTCATAATCTTAACGTTAGTCGATGAGATTGTCAGTTCATTTACAGGCCGGTGTCCAGAAAGGCTTGTATAGGTGAGCAGAACATCAAGCACTAGGGATCCTCTCCAGTCATCATTACCAAGGAAACATAAATGTCAAGGCACACAGCAATGAGGTGCTGATCAGTCTATGATAGGAGCACTTCGTTGCACAACAGCAGGCTGATGTTTAGCAATAACAAAACATTTCAAGAAAGAGCTCTAAGGGTGTTAAACAATGATATATATACTATCAGCCTGATTTTTTTATGGCGCTTAAAAGGATAGTTAGAAGTCATCATTTACTCACCCTCATATGTGACCCTGGACCACAAAACCAATCATAAGGGTAAATTTTTTTTGATGTATGGTTTGTTAGGATAGGGCAATATTTGGCCGAGATACAACTATTTGAAAATCTGGAATCTGAGGGTGCAAAAAAATTAAAATCTAAATACTGAGAAAATCACCTTTTAAAGTTGTCCAAATGAAGTCCTTAGCAATGCATATTACTAATCAAAAAATAAGTTTTGATATATTTATGGTAGAAAATTTACATATCTTCATGGAACATGATCTTTATTTTTATCCTAGTGATTTTTGGCATAAAAGAAAAAATAAATCTATAATTTTGACCCATACAATGTATTGTTGGCTACTGCTACAAATATACCCCAGCGAGTGACTTTATTGCTTCTGTGGAACACAAATAGATATTTTGGTTTCTATTGACTGCCATTGTATGGACAAAAATGACTGTTACAAACTGTAAATATAATATATTCTTCCATTTTTGAATATTCTTCAAAAATACTTTCATACTTCTTTTCAAATGATACTTTATTCAGAAAGGACTTGATTGACAGTGACAGTAAAGTCATTTATAATGTTGCAAAATAACTTTCTATTTATCAAAGAATCTTAAAAAATATGTATCACTGTTTCCACAAAAATATTAAGCAGCACTACTGTTTTCAACATTGATAGTAATAAGAAATGTTTCTTGAGCAGCAAATCAGCATATTAGTATGATTTCTGAAGGATCATGAGACACTGTTGATCCTTCAATGATGCTGAAAATTCAGCTTTACCATCACAGGAATAAATTACATTTTAATATGTAGTAATATTTCACAATATTATTGTTTTTAATATATTTTATATATGCACTTGGTGACTTTTCAAAAAACATTTAAAATTCCTACTTAGTACCCCAAACTTTTCAATGGTATCTTAAAGGTGCTGTATGTAGGATTGACACCGAGTGGTTGAACTAGGTATTGCAGTCCAGATTCAAAATATTGGAGAGGGTTTTTTTCACCCGGCCCCTCCTCCTCAGACTTGACGCACACGCAGGTTGCCAGATTGAGGACACCAACAGGAACGAGCGCACTTGACGATTAATGAAATGAAATACGCTGTGTTTTCGGCCAACTGGCAACCCGGGGTGCCGAAATACAATTGGGTAAACTGGCAGTGGGCGGGTTTCACAAACCAAAACAGAGACCGACATTCCGGCCCGGAACGCACATTTTCAAAGGAGAATAACTGACTGTAGCATTGTTTTTCAGATAAACAAGTATGTTAACTTAGCATGTTTCTTAAATATCTGCAAATATATTATGGTATTGTTATGCTTTAGTAGAGTCAAAAACTTACATACAGCACCTTTAACTGAATATTTGGCAATTCGTATTAAATTACAAACGCAATTAAATGGTATGCCACACACAATACTGTAGTTACATCATCTACCAGCAGGGGCCAGACTTTGCTGCTCATTTGATTAAAGGGGTCATATGATGCTTTTTTAAAGATGAACGAGCCATTTTAGGGGGGTGTGGCAGAGTCTTAACTTTGATAAAGAATATCTCTTTGGATTTGAGACTTTAGTCTTTGCAACTTCAGGGATCTTATCTATGCACAATCAGCTTGTAACACTCCAAAGAGAAAGGAAAACTTGAAATCGCATCATATGACCCCTTTAAGTCAAAGATTCATGGTTTGGCATAGATCGCATCATAAAAGTACTGTTTTTCAAATTTGAAGTACAGCGCTTTATTTAATTCATGGGTTTTCATCCATGCATTTTCATTTCTGAAATGCACATGGAGAAAATGAATGTCAAACATCATTTTGGAAACAAAAGCTGCTGAGAAGTGGGGGATTATGTGACTTTTTTTTTCTTTCCCAGGAATCCTGGTTGACAGCACTAGCCAATACGCCTATGTGTTCTTCGCCTGCAGCATAAACGGCTCCACCGCTGGTCTCTTCATCATGATGTCCTTCTACTGGCTGGACAGACAGAAGTGCAGAGAGGTCAAGAGCGCCTTCACTCATAAAGACATCAACTCACTGAAGCCCAGCACTAAGATGACCATAGACTGTGATTACAGTCCAGTGCCTTTACATGGTAACACTATCAGAGACATGGAGACTAATGTGTGATGTGTGGCCAGTGTATTTGACCATACTCATTTTGTTCAGTCTTTTCTTATCTTTATCTTGTTAGTGGACAATCAGATGTATTTGTCATAGCTCATGTACACAGATATAGTGCAGCAAGGTTCTTGGACTGCTGTAAAAATAGACTGGACCAGAATCGCTGGTTTAACTTTTCATAGTCCTTAGATGGTGCCACATGGGAACTTTAATCACTTCAGATCATCTCTCAAAACATCTCGAAAGCCTGATTTCAGTTATTACTCTAGCCTCCTTCAGGATTGCTAACAAAGGCCAGTTGTAATTGACATTCACATTACTGTAATTTAGATTCTTCTGGGAACAAATGAATGTAGAAAACATCAGAGAATGTGAGATTGTGCAATGAATGATTTTTTTACATTTATTTCTAGATGCCTTAAATTATAAATGTTATATCTTGTAAATGATTTTTTTTTTAGTTTTGTGTATAGATACTGCTTTTTAAAATAAGTAACTTATTTATATATTTGTATGTATTAAAGAAAATTGTTGCTTTGTGTGTTGTCTGTCAGTTTCATTGTCTCAGCGTTGCGTTTGGTCTCTATGGTAAATAGTTGACTGTGCTGAGTGTAAAACAGCAATGCTTGAGGACCAATAATAATAATAATAAATGATCAAGTAATGCTGGACAGTCACATATTCCCCCTTTTTTGTACACTTTATAGAAACTGTGGTGTTTGTTCAGGACAGTGCTAAAAATCCAATGACAAATTGCATATGAATACACAAATTTATTTATTATTATAAATTGTGTTTATTGCATTTAATGTCATTTTAATAAGAATTTAGTGTTAGCACAGTGCTGCTGCTAATAGGCATCATTTTCCTTTTTAGTAATTAATCTCGGCTCCCAAGAACCACAAGAGGGCAGCAATATCATGACTATAGTGTGACATTTAAATTCTTATCAAAACAAACTTTGTATGTTTTTATTTTATTATTATTTTTCATCATGAAGATGTCTAAACAGTACACGACAATGCAATTTCATTCATGCAATTAAATTTGCACATTACTTTAATAAACATTAATTGTTATGGAAATAAATTTCTGATTAAAATAATTAATAAAATATATTTTACGAATGCATCAAACTATTTTACTATAAACATGAATACATTTTATTTCCCGTTGTTCACTGGTAAGCAAAAAAAAACCTTATGTGAACTAAAACTTTAAATAAGGTGTCATTTGTTAATATATGAATTAACATGAACGAACGAATACCTCATTAGACTCTTTGTTAATCTTCGTTAATGTTAAAAATACAGTCGTTCATTGTTTGTTCATGTTCACAGTGCATTAACTAATGTTAACAAACAAAACTTGTGATTTTAATACTGCATTAGTAAATCCTGAAATTGATATTAAGATTAATAAATGCTGTAGAACTATTGTTCATTCTTAGTTCATGTTAACAAATTAACCTTATTGTAAAGTGGTACACAACTTCTATTGTTCTTTTAACAAGTACAACAAATATATTGTAAATACTGTATTAAATAATTTAAATAACCCTAAACATATATAGTTATAAATAAATAAATTTCTCTCTAAAAACAAACAAACAAACAAACAAACCACTTTTGTCAGTAAAGCACAAATCTAAAATGAGTTTCATGACCAATGTTGGAAAAAAAAAAAAAAAAGTAACTCCATGCCCATTTTTCCCTTTATTTATTTGCACATATTAGACAACCAATTTTACATTGATATATGTTTTTAAACCAATGCACAGTATGTAAAATTCACTCTGTGTCAAAACACACCATAAAGATTCTCAAATAAATTAAACAGCACATCAGCCCAATTTTAGTATCTACAGACAGGGCATCGCTGCTATGTTTACAAATCTATATACATGAGATATAACAAAACAGTCAACAAAGTGCGTGATAACTGTGAAATCAAAGACTCAACGAGAGAAATTAACACTGACAAGTGCTCCTATACTTCAGGGCTGCACGATAAATCGCATGCTATATTTAACGGCTTTCTGACAAGATGCGCGTTAAATATAGCATGCGATTTATCGTGCAGCCCTACTATACTTGATGTTAAAGTTTGACGTAAATGAACTGAACTTAAACCCTGTGATAAACAAAAGCTGGCTTCAGTTCCACAAACTCACCAGCAGACCCAGCAGAGGCACATGGGATAGAAATGAGGTTCATACAACCACTGACAAGTTCTGTGAGGAAGGTCACACCGCACAGAGACTGATTTACAGTCCAAGCAGTTACACAAGTGAAACAGTACTTACGGTTTGGTTTGCATCGTGACCACTGTGGCCCGTGAATCTAGACACAGTAAACATCACTTAACTGTGGGATTTTGAAGTGCAGTTTCAGAAACATACATACAAACCTTCTGAAGCCCTAAAATAGTGGTTGCATCATGCAAACTGGTGACCAGTCTGCTGATGTAACTGGGTTAATAATAGTAATAGCAGATGTTTCCATGCTATTGAACACGTTTTCTTGGCATTCATTCCAGTAAAAACATCTGCGGACCTCCACATTTAGACCCTTTACCGAAGCTGAAAACAGTGAACGTGTAAATCAAGGCTGAGGGGACATTCAGAACTGCCTCAGATCACACACACACGCATTGGCATCAAGCATACAGCGACGTTCACCTCAAAAAGAAAATCCCTTGAACGTCTTTTAAATTGTGCGACACACTGAAACACTCACACAAAAGCTGTGGCCCGACTCAGACCTTTGTCATTTTGCTGGCTTTAGGTGAGACCTCGTGAGAAGAACAGAGGTGGACTGAAGCTCGCGCTTCAGTCCAGGAACGGACCCTCACGCCTGACATGTATCTGTCAGACACGCTCGAGGCACGTCATCTCAGTCTCTCTCGCACACACACACACTCACACAGACTCACACAATCTCTGGAGTGTCCCCTCTGTTTCCACATTGCGTCCGAGCTTGTGTGGAGGTCGCTGGGAAAGTCTCTCACACGCTGAGAGGGAGCATGCCAGGAGGAGACACGGGCCGCGGGGAAGCCATGGCCGTCAGGGCACCGGGATCCAGGCCATTCATATTCCTGTGAGGAATCAAGAAACTGAATTATGTACCGTGAACAATGTGTTACGAATAAGTATAAATCTTCAGTTAAACTGCTCGAGGGTTGGGTGATATGATCAATTTTTAACTGACATATGCATCACTTAACCATGTCAGTGATAACAGTAATTAGGCTTGTTGTCACTAAAACAAATTGTTATACACTGAACAAAACCTCACGTTTTATAATTCCCCAATATCACCACAGTGTTTCCCATACACTGATTTATTTGTGGTGCCCGCCACAATATCAAAACTGACCGCCACAAATAGATTTTCCGAAAGGCTTTGACTTCATTGAATAAACACGAGCACTGCATGTTTCAAAACTGAAACCCGGTGCGGGTGCTTTTATATCACTGTATTTCTGAAGGAAACCGACTGTCTTCAGAAAATTTTGGATGTCATTTTCATTTCATCTTGCATGTAATGTCTGATAAACTAAAACAGCGTTTGTGAGCGGAGCCATGCTTTGTGTACTGCCGTTACCGGGGAACCTCGATCTCTAACCGCTCTACAAGCGCCTCCCGCTGGCTGAGAATGAATTTGCATATATATGCCGCCACTGTGGGAAACACTGCCACATAACAAATTAATAACCTGAATTAATTCTACAACTACTCCAAGTAACTCCAAGCTTACCTGGATACACAGTATGTGAAACTTCTTGAGTACAGTATACTCATGTACAGCAATATATAGCTAATCTTCTGTCGCAAAATGTAAACTATTATCTCACAGCTTATAAAGTTGCATATATGTATAACTTTATCCACGTACATAAAGTACACTCATGTAAAGTGATACCTACTATATTACAAATCTTTCACCACACAGCTCTTCATACAAGGTTGAATATATAAGTGTGTCCAACTTTATCTGCATACATACAGTACTCTTGCTTAGAGTGATAATATACAGTATAGATTGTATATTGTTTGAAAATGTAAACTGTATTATCACACAGATGTAATTTGCTTAATGAAACCACATGGTATGAAGATATTAAAGGGATAGTTCACTCAAAATGGAAGTGTGTCAAGATATTGATAAACTGCTGCTGGTAGCCATTGACTTCCATGGTATTTTTTTCATGCTGTGGAAATCAAAGGCTACTGTCAACTGTTAGGTTACCAACATCCTTCAGAAGATCTTCTTTTGTGTTCCACAGAAGAAAGAAACACATATAGGTCTAGAACTTCTTGAGGGTGAGTAAATGACAGAAACTTCATTTTTGGGTGAACAATCCCTTTAAGATAATATAAACATTATTATATAACGGATAGTTCCGGTCCTTGATTCTGATTGGTTGAGCCACATTCGAAGCTGTTGTAAATTACACTACAAACATACACCTTTGTTTACTTCTGTGTGTTGCTTGGCAACCACTTTGTTGGAACCACCTTTGTTTACTTCTGTGTGTTGCTCGGCAACCACTTCGTGTCGTAACAACACCCCTTAGTTGTTATAAATTCACTGTAAACCACGGCTTCACGGGGCTTATTGCTTTAACATCACGATTTTCTGTAAAGCTGCTTTTAAACAATGTGTAGCTATTAGACAAAAAGTGTGCAACAAATATGTTATCAGAGGTGAGAGTACTTATTAGAAACTGTTATTATTAGTTCAAATCTATCTAACAGGCCAAAATATTTAATAATCTGTAATATTAATAACACCACCAATTATCTAGAATAATTAATATTAGTGCTGGGCGGTATGACCAAGAATTTATATCACGATATTTTTCAAAATGATACCGGTTTCACGGTACATGACGGTATTTTTTTTTCCATGCATGACAAGGT